ACAACAAAAAATGAAGTTTCTGTATGAAACTGTGTATTTTAATAATGAAATAGAGATCTTTTTTAAAGGTTAAAGCCTCATTTAATTTTATGTCTTATAGGGTTTATACTGAGTACAATATTGTATAACTGTAATAATTCAACTGTAAACTTAAAAATTTACAGCCAGCTTTGAAAGAGAAGCATTTTAGCTCTGGAAATTGTATTGACTATGTCAATGCTGTTGTAATGAAATGCTTCTTCTAATTATATGGTTATCAAATAAATAATTAAAAAAACAAAAATAAAACCTCCTGAATAAAATATATATATGATTTATTTTTATTACTTTATGTGTATGCATGTTGTGTCTGTGTTTGTGAATGTTTGCTGTGTGTGGGTGTCTGTGGTGGGTAGAAAAGGGTGTTGGATCCCCTGGAGATGGAGTTATAGGTGGTTGTGAACAGATGTGGGTGTTGGGAACTGAAGTTGGGTCCTCTGAAAGAGCAGAAAGCACTCTTAATCAATAAGTCATCTTTCTAGCCCTACTTTTTTTTGTCTTATTTTGAGGGAAGGTTTTATGTAGCCAGACTGACTTTGAACTTTCTAGTAGGCAAGAATAACCTTGAACTCTTGATACCAACTCTGGAGTGCTGGGATTATAACTGTGGGCCACCACACCTGGTTTATGCAGTATCAGGGATCAAACTCAGGGCTTCATGCATGCAAGGCAAATACCTGACCAACTGAGCTACATCTCCAGTCCCTATGACTCACTGCTCAAGTCTTTATGACAGGTGGTAATTTTTTTTTTTTTTTTGGTCTTTTTGAGACGGAGTCTTCCTGTAGCCCCAGCTGGCCTGGAACTCACTATGTAGACCAGGCTGACCTTGAACTCACAGAGATCCACCTGCCTCTGCCTCCCAAGTGCTGGGACTACAGGCCTGCGCCACCATACCTGGCTAGCAGGAGGTAATTTTGTAAATTGGAGCAAGGCATTCACAAGAGTTAGGCTCTTGTTCTCCTGTTATTAAGGTAGAAAAACTATGCCTTGGGATGACCTGTGGTCTGTATGAAGCCCTCTGCCTGTGCTCTTGACTTAAACCCTCAAAGCATCAAACCCTGCCTTCAATGCCTTACCTCCAGAACCTTGCTTCTCTTTTCAATTGAGCCTCTAGACAGAACTGCTTTCTTCTGCTTGCTTCCCCACTCACTTTAGTTCTTTTTTTCTTGCTGAGAACTTGCATTTGCTCATTAATTAATTAATTCATTAATTCATTCATTCATTGAAAAGTGGATTGCCTCATTTGAGTGTGTCTAAAGGTTGTAGCAGGGGAATGAAACTACTTGTCCAGGGGACTGGGGAGATGGCTCAGCAGTTAAGACCACTTGCTGCAGAAGACCTGAGTTCAGTTCCCAGCACCCACATGGCCACTAACAACTGTTAACTCCAATGCCAGGGGATCCAACACCCTCTTCTGGTCTCTGCAGGCATTGCATGACGTGGGTGCACTTACATAAATGTAGGGAAAGCACTTGTATGCATAAACTAAAAATTAATTGACAAAACAAAACCACAAAAAGCTACTTGTCCACCCTTGACCAAAGAATGGTCCTCCTCTATGAGAGGAGGTCAGTTTCTCCCACAGAGCACACAGTGGAGCACACAGCATCAGAAGGGACATTTGTGGAACTGTGGGGAAGGAAGAAGACACCTGCTTCGCCAGCTAGATCAGACCAATCAACCTTGGTGATCAATAGGACAACAACTGTCTTAGCTAACACTTCCACATCTGCTTTTATATTATATTTTAATTTTATCTCTCCAGTCCCCGATTCTAATTTTTTAGTAACAGATTTGATTTATTAGATATAATCCACACACTATAAAAATACCCAAATATACCCATTTAGTGTGTAATTCAATGTGTCCCACAGATCCACAGGTACAGGCAACTAACACCACAGTCAATTTTAAAGATTTATTTATTTATTTTTATTTATTTATTTATTTATTTATTTATTTATTTATTTATTTATTTATTTTTGTCTTTTTGAGATCTCTCTGTAGCCCCAGCTGTCCTGGAACTCACTATGTAGACTAGGCTGGCCTTGAACTCACAGAGATCCTCCTGCCTCTGCCTCCTGAGTTCTGGGACTAAAGGCATGCACCACCATGCCCGGCCTATATTTATTTTTATTTTATGTGTATGTTTTACCTGCATGTATGTGCACCATGTGCATGTTGCCCTCAAAGGCCAGAAGAGGGTTGAATCCCTTACAACTGAAGCTGTGGATGGTTGTGAGTTGCCATGTGAATGCTAGGAACTGAGCAACCAGTGCTTTTAACTACTGAGCCATCTCTCTCGTGGCCACAACCAATTTTAGAACCTTGGTCTTCACCTCTAAAGCAAACTGTACCTGTTCACTATCACCTTTCAATTTCTTCCCAGCCCTGAAGAAATCAGAAATCTCTCTTGCTAGATTTGCCACTTCTGGGTATCGCATATAAAGGTTATATGTAATCTTCAAAAAGAAAAAAAGCCAGGCATCGTGGCACACACCTTTAATCCCAGCACTAGGCAGGCGGATCTCTGTGAGTCCAAGGCCAGCCTGGTCTACATAGTGAGTTCCAGGACAGCTGGGGCTACAGGGAGACCCTGTCTCAAAAAGA